TCAGAATTTTGGACAGAGCAGTCTCATTCACCTGAGATTTATTTTTTAGACTTACAAGTGTGTAGATGATAACTCAAGAACATAATTCATTTTAGAATCTTCACTTGCAATTATTTTGTTTGCTTAGCAAGTTGAAGACTTTTCAAAATAAGCTACTATGTGTACACTTTAAGTACTGCTCGCACTCTGCTGCTAATGAGGAGGTGCATTTGACTATTTGAATGTTACTGTGCAGGCTGCAGTAATGTCCTGATAAGCAACTCGTTCTAATAACTGGGACAACAAACTTCTTTTGACTTTTCTGTTGGTCTTTAGGATCATGGGTGAATGACTTTTCTAAGCCTATTTTGTTTTGTTTCCTTCCTCTTAAAATCGAAATATATCTCAGTAAGCTTTCTGGTACAGAGATTCTTGCTATTTATGTACAGTCTGGGGCCTTGTCTACCAGTCTTGTTAGGAGACTTTTACATGCCACTATTACAGTAATAATAAATAATCTTTACAGGCAAGCTGTTCTTATTGCATTGTTGGTGAAAGTTGGTGTCATTTCTGAGAAGCACACCTGGGAATGGCAAAGCGTGGAAGCGGTGGCTACAGGCCTACAGGTAGGAGCGAACAGTTACTTGTCGAGAGAAACTGTTATATGCAAGATGACGTAGTGGTTCTCAAGAACTCAAATAGTGGCATACTTGATTAATACAGGCTAGATTAGTACTGGGTTTGTTAGAAGTTGGGTTAAGCCTCAGCCAGTCACCCCACATCCTTTATATTCCACGCTTCCTATATTCGTGTGTTGTCTAGGAGGTATGGGGGAGGAGAAGCTTGTCCTGGTTAAGTGTTTCTTTTGGCTATCCTTGCAATTCTTTTTGAAATAATTCATCATAGAGTAGCTTCTTGTTGAAGCTTCACTTCCGTGAGTCAGCCTGCCAGGCAAGGACTGATTTGCATATGTACGTAGTACACATGGCTGCCTGAGATCTGCCAAGAATATCAGAGCTCTGGTGGATAAGTAGCTGATGCCAGTGTCCCAAGACAATCCCTATCCGTCTTTGGATAGCAGAAGAAGCCTAGAAACAATTTTTCTTCAGTTGTGAATGATTAAACACTAGTTAGCATCTCTCTCCTTGTTGCAGGATTTTATCATCTGTGTTGAGATGTTTCTGGCTGCGATTGCTCATCACTACAGTTTTTCCTATAAACCTTATGTCCAAGAAGCTGAAGAAGGGTCATGCTTTGACTCCTTTCTTGCAATGTGGGATATTTCTGATATAAGGGCAGACATATCGGAACAAGTTCGAAATGTTGGTGAGTAACAAAGACTTGTATGGTCTGGTACTGTATGGTCACGTGCTTTGTTGACAGCATGTGTACTTCTTGCTTCATTTTATACTGTTAGCCATCACTACAGGACCTTGATAATGTCCCATTTCAAATTAGTGGCAGCTGTGCCTGTAGAGGATTTTCATGGCATAGCTACTACTTTGCTTTTTCTAGTAATCCTCTTTAAGGAAGAGTCTAGTTCTTAATTTTACTTTTGAATAGATGAATCTCAGTTAAATTTTGGATATTTTTGGTAGAAGGGAAGGATTTTTTTCTAATAAAAATACATCTCTTTATTAATTGCAGCTAACAATTTCCATGTGAAACTCTTTCTTTAAAAACAATGACTAGCTTTTTAACTCAGCATGTGTGTTTTATACTGTATGTCTACAAAAATCTGAGTATATTACTGCAAGCATTAAATGGTATTTTTATTTGGCCTAATTCTAGGAAGGACAGTTTTGGGCCAGCCAAGGAAAATATTTTTTGCTGAGGACCATGAACAAAATGAGCATACAAGTTTATTGTCTTCATCTACTCAAGACCCAATTTCTGATGCTTCTTCAATGCCATCTTCACCCATGGGTCATTACCAGGGGTTTGGACACACGGTGACACCTCTCACAACACCCACGACAGTCCCTGTAGTTGATGGTATTTATAACACTGCTGCTATTCAAGGCATTGAGGAGTCACCTGAACTACAGCACAACTTGTCAGAGAGAGCTTTGGATAAAAGTTAAGCTCACCTTTTCTTTGAATGTATCCAGGAGTCTCTTTCTTACTTGCCACGCATGTGCTTTTACATGTACTATTACTGATGAAAGCTGAGAATACCTGGAAGAGACTGCATAGACAGGAAGAGGATATGGCTATAATTGACATACTAATTCTGAATTTATAATGGATGTATCTGTGGTACCCCATGAAAACAAAACACGCACACCATAAATTTCTGCATAAATTTAAAAATCAGTTCCTTAGACTGCTAAACTTTTCCACACCTATATTGCACAAAAGGACAAGTATATTGAACTTAAACTGACTTCTTCTAATACAAAAGATATATTTGGAAAAATACTCTGCTCTTCTAATACATGAAGTGTAAGTATTACTAGCAATGGGAAAAATTAATTTCAAGAATATAATCTAAGGAACTAAGTTTCAGAAACTGCTTGTATTAGCTTTGGTTGTCCTCTTATGATGGTAACTTCCATAGCTCAGCACTCAGTTGAGTAGGGAAAAAATAGTAACTTCTGTACACGTCATCTTCTTTGCTTTCCTACAAAGCTAACTAAAACCCCTTTCAAGAAGATAATTATTACAGAGCATCAGTAAAGAATCTGGAGGGAAAAAAAAAGCATTCCCTACAGGCCTAGTTACACAATCCCATGCCCAGAACTTTGTAAAGCTGGCCTATCTGTTGCCCTTGTTGCTCATAATGTCTTGCTAGTCTTTTACATTCAGAATAGTCAGCCAGGAAGATAGATATGTTTTAGATGAATACCTTACACTTACTTATTTTTAAAGTGAGAATAACGGTTACAACCTTAAAGTATATTGGGGAAAACCTAAAGGATATCAAAATTGGGAAGCAAAATTGACTACTTTGTGTGTGTTGCAATAAATCCTTTAACACTAAAGACTCTTTTTTTTAAGCTGTTAAAACAGGATCTCCTGACAATGCCTCTGTAGCAAATTGTATTCATAAATGTGTGTATGTGTGGGCAGTGTACTATGCTTCTGGTATAGCCTAAACTCAAATGTAATACCTTCTTTTTTGTTGGGTTTTTTGTTTTTTTTTTCTGGCCCTCTGCTAGGGAGGAAGACACCTTTGCCATGGTGGAATCAAGTAGCTAATCTAATACTAGAGTTACTAGCATTAGATTTCAGACCAGTAAGGAGTACACTTGTATCAAAATGTTACTATTTTGCAAAACTGACAAAATAAGAGGGGTATTGTTTTTTCCATTAACAGACCTTTAGTAGTATTGCATGTTTGCAATCTGACAAAAAAAAGAGCACTGATGCTTCAAGTGAATTTGCCATTTCTTTTTCAGCATTGTTGCCATTTACAGAGTAAATGTTTAATTTCTCATTGTTATGGTGAACTCATCTTAAGTGCTTTTTTGCAGTACTAGTGTGATGTAAATATTGCGCCTTACTCACTAGGCTGCATATTTTCTAGTCGACTATGTACTTGCTGTATCTGAAGTTAGTGGGAAGTGCAAATCATACTTTTCAATTTGGTGAGTCATTGCCTTTGTAAATAAATAAGCAAATAAAGATTTTATTTAAACTGTTCATCTACCTTGTATTTGATTTACTGTTACAGTCACTTAAGAGGTGAATGACAAGAGAAAAACTGTGATCTTTGTAGAGAAAGGGAATCATAACTAGTACAAGTGCTTGTTCATTCTTCTGGTATTGCAAGGCTTGTAGTGGAAAGGAAAAGCTGGCTTGAGCTTATGAAGAAATAGAATTTATTGCTAAATATCTTTTTATGTATTACCAAAGCCCCATTCAAAAAGGAATAAACCTGTAAAAGCTCCAAGTGCCTAGGAACCTTTCTGGCCCCTGTAGACACCATTATCTCCTCTGTATATGCAGCTGGAAGGGCAGTGATAAACATCACATCTGAATGATGTTCTTTCTTACTGTTGTAAGCTAAGTACCTCTTGCACAAGGCCCCTCCTGAAGAATGATTTTTTTCTTTTGAATAGTTGATGTTCTGCCTGCTTGGTGTAAATTATTATGTAATGTATAGGGAGGAGGCCTTCCTATGAAAGGGGCTAGTCAAGTGTCTTGATCACTTCCCTTTGCACCATGTAGATCTTAGCTTTCTAGAAAGCTAGGCACTGTTTTACTTTGACCATTTTCTTCTGTGTACCTTTTGGGTCAGCATTTGTAACTAATTTCAGTTGTTACTATCTGTACTATGCTGAACTCAAGTTCTTCATTCTATGTATGTGGTGCTCTCGCATTGTATCTGAGAGAAAAGAATTTTTCATTGTAGCAAGTTGTAGGATCATACCTCCCTATTAAAATTGCTACTGCATTTCAAATCTTCTTCACTTCTACCCCTTCCTGTTTTTTTGAAAAACATTACTACAATAATAGGTCCATTATAAGCCTATCACATTCATAGTCTATTGCAGTTTGCATATTATCCTCCCTGTTTCTTAACTGTGTTTGTTTCCCTCTAACAAAACCAGTTTTATGGTGTTTCCCTCTAACAAAACTGGTTTTATGCCTAATCTCTTCCAAACTTTTCAGTTGAAGTCTTATTACAGGTTGATCTCACCTCATCTCAAGCACTGCTATTCTATGTATTGCAACTCTTGGATAGAGGGTGGTATTCCATTACTTTATCTTCAAAAATTTGACCCAGTCATTACCTCCATTTTGAAATAACTGGGTGGAAGACAACAAGCCATCAGCTGCAGGTTTTATGGCAGGCTGGGACAACTAACTCTCACTTGCAATGAGATTCTAGTTAAAAATACTAGCACATATCTTTCCACAGCTTTTTGACAAGGGAAGATCACAAAAGTCTCTTCTACACAGAGATTAAAGCAATGACACTGTAAAGAAGTTTAGATGCACAAATATCTGCAGCTGTACTGCAAACAGTTTTTCCCCATACGTGTAGGTAGAAGTAATCATGCAAAGAACAAAAATTAACAGCTTTTTAGTCTTTTATTTGGAGAGAAATGTAACAAAGAACCTATTTGCCTGCATTATGCTGAAGGGTAATGCTGCAGAAAAGGAACAGAAGTACTGTGATGTGATTAATGGAATATGTAACACCAGCTTCCCCATAGCCTAAAAAAGCCCTCAGTCCCATTACATTACCAGACATACTGCCATTCTCTAACTGAAGTTTCCTAGCTTGACCTTTGCTGTATAACTTAACTTATTCTACAGCATTCCTTTATGACTTGTTATAATTGTACACCTACAACAGTAACATGTGATACTGCAATGGGAATGGTAGTACAGTCCCTACTACAAGGTGAAGATCTCACTACATTTTTAAGTAAAGTTATACCTACATGACTGAGAAGTGGAACCAAGGTTTGGAGAGAAAAAAAAAAAAAAAAAAACAAAGCCTCTATCTTAAACAACCACAGCTGTTTATAACAACACTTTGTTTTTACTATAGCCATTCAGATGCTTTTTCCTCATACTAGCAATAACAGTGCCCTGACAGAACTCTCTCAGTGACTGTAGAAGTGGGACAGAGGATTTATGCAATATTCAGAGCTACAGTAGCTGAACATGGTAAATAACATGGATTTATAAATCAGGAGCTTTCCTGTAATAGAAGATACCTGTTCAATAAGTCTGTTCTTTCATAGCTATTAGAAGTTAAAAAACCCCAAAACAATAATAGCTAGCAATCAATTTTCTTGCTACAGTGAAAACAATATCTCCCCTCTAACTGGCTGGTAAGATAGCCTTGCAGCGCGAGTTTTAGTTAATCAATAAATACTTAAAAATTTACAAACTATATTACAGCAATAAAATAGCCTCTGGGATCAGTAGATAAAATGTAGACTTTAATATAAGTTAATATCAGTCATGTTGAACAAATTGTGTATGCATAGATAATTAACCCAACATCCATTTCCAGCTGACATTCTTCACTGTCTTACTGTAATGCTAATATTGCTTTTATGATGCTGGACATCAAGCACAAGTTCATCTCCAAGCTGAACTTGGATAGGCTTATCTAGAACAACTGCAGCTTGTTTCCAGTGCGAGAACTCATCTGATGTATTCAAACTATGGTCTTCATCTAGATGTATGTGATACCAGAAGGGAATTGCAGTGACTTGTCCAGACTTACAAATCTGCACCTAGAAATATTTAAAATATTAGTTTAGCTATTTAGAGCCTTTTCAAAGAAGTCTGAAGATAGAGTAGTTCAAACCCTTTCAAACCATTTCAGGGAGGCCTGCAAGTAAGTAGATTTTGTACTGAAATTTTCAGCCAACATTAACAATTAGTGAAAAGCTCTGCAGAAAGGCAGCTAAGTACACTTCTGAATTTATGTATATTCAACTCACCTTCACTTCTCTACTGGAGCTGTTCAAGAGAGGATTCATGAGATCTAGCCTTAAAAGTTCTGCTGGCTTGCTCAAGGGTAGACAGGGCAACGTAGAGAGATCCAAATACACACGAACAGGTACCTAAGAGTGTATACCACAACTTCAGGCTTATCAGTAGCTATAAAACAGCGAAAAGTTTAAGACTTGATCATACTACAATAGTTTCTAGGAATTACTGTAATGCCTGTAAGGAACAGAGCCAAAATATACCCTTCTAATCTGTCTTGAGATGTGACTGCTAGGATACAAGCTGATTAAGGGAACAGTAAGAGCACAACCACTTTTCTGTATAGTATCATTGTTTCTTTCATCACTCTCAGCCACACCAGTTTAATATAGATGTTCTTTCTTACTTTAGTTTATCTCAAGGTCCTTGCCTAACTTGTCACATAAATCTCTCTTGTTAAATTGCTTCAACAGTATGAAAAAGTTTCACCTCTTTAGTTTTCTTGCATTTTACATTGAAGCTAAACAGCTAGACAGCTGCAGGTTTTGGAACTGTGCTTGAAGACATCCATCAACTTCATACCTTGAACTGGTTGATGAAAGGGGCTATATTAAACCCAAGAGTTGGTTCTGTTCCTTGAACAGCACTCTCCAGTAACAGGGACTGTGATTCTACAAGCATCCCATACATCAATACATATTGTGGGAATATCTTTCCTCCACTGTGAAGTAAACATCTGTAAAAAGAGAGATTCCACCACTAAAGCTTAACATTCAACAGTACGGAAAGAATATTAACTACACTTAAGAAAGGCACATGAGTTCCTCCTGTGAAGTCAAGTGCCCTTGAGCATTTCTGACTTCGATCCTATCTGATTAGACAGCTGTCAAAAACAAAAAAAGCAAAAAACAAACAAAAAAAATCCCCCCCCCCACAATCCACACTCCACACAACAGAAAGCTTGTCATGCAAATACTAAAGAAAAGTATGGAACTAAATAACCTTAGTGTATTAGAAACCATGACATTTCAAGATGAAGGTAATAGGATTTATTCATCACATGAACATCTAATACTGAAGGACTGGCAGAAACGTCTAATGAAACTGGAAGTGAAGTATTAGTATTTACTGCCCCAACAGTATCTGTTCAGGGCATGAGGGGCAGCAAACCCACAGGGAAACAAAACTAAGTGGGAAGTAAAAGTCACCTAAAGGTGCCCTTCCTCATTTTAAGTATTTAACAAAAGTATTAGCAATACAGCAAACCACGTTTTTGCTGGAGGGTGGGGGTAGGGGAGGAGGGGAACACTCTCAGCCTTCCTTGCAGCCCTGCCATAGAATACCACACTGCTGAGAGCAGTGCCAAGATAAATAGAAGCTTTCATTCAGGATAATACTCGGCAAACATCTTGAGAATCACATCTTGAGAATCTGTACAGACTCTTCTAGGTTCTTTTCCTTTAATTGACCTCTTTCCACAGGCACTGGGTAACTAAGCAGTGCCTTATGCATGACCTTCGTGATTATTTTTTCCATGTCAACAGATTTGAGTTTGCATACAATAAAAATCAAAGCAATTTCCCATTTGATCCTAGAGCAAATATCTAAGTTATCCAAAGAATTAACTTTGGAGAAGTCATGTACATAAATCCTCTGGAATATTGATCCTGCCATCACTTAGAAAAGATGAACAAAGAAGATTCCCAAGTCCCACAAAAGCGTATGATCCTGTTTTACATTTTCTTTTTTTCTTTTTCTTTTTTTTTTCTATGCATTTCCATTATTTCTCCCTTATTCTGCATTCCTTCCCATCCCAGGTAACAGCTAGCTTTCCTGGTTTCTCCCCAGCTGCTCTATACCATGTGCCTGACTTAACAGTAAGAGGTTGTTCCAGTAACAGCTTGACGTGTACATGAATCTGGACTTCTTCACTAACTTAAGTCATACGTTAAAAGCTACCTCAGCTATTACCATGCTGTTTGCTATCCTGGAAGCTTCTGACAGGTGAGGCAATAAAATCTACCCGTACACATTCTTGCATACTAAAAAAAAGACTATGAAAGTAAAATCCTGACACTACTTTAAAATATATATATACAATGGTCAGACACCAAGGAGATTCTGGGAAATTCAATTCTAAATTGAAGTTTTTCAATCTGCTTTGAAAGCGAACTGCTGCTCTACAGAAACAACATCATGGTAATTTTGTATTTAGAAGGAACGTTTCCAAAAGTTTTCACACCATTATGGATTCCTAGGAATACTTTCGTCCATTGTTGCTTGAATACTTACAAATTGTTATACAGTACCTGGATATTGCAGCCTTTTCCATCACCTCCTGCTGGATTAAACCAGATGTCTCTATAACATCCAAGATAATAATACTCCACAATTTGTCCGATTTTGGTCTCTGTAACACCACATTTTCATCTTCTAAGTGGCTGAGCCAAAATTCTAATGTTTCTTTAGGGAAATGGTTAGCTTCTGAAATTATGTTAAGGGCTGTTTGATGCTGCTCTTTCTCAACAGAACTGTAAGCTTTAACCGGTCCAAGTTTGCCAGCTATAATTGGTAGGATAGAGAAGCCCTCAGATACATCTAATACATACAAAGGATCAGGAGCCGCATCTAGAGCGCTCCGGTTTTGAGACTCTTGAAGGTTCAACCCACTACCATGTCCATCAACATCCATGGTCTGCAAGTCTTTACCTGCGTTTAATGAAGACAGCACTTTGACAATGGCAGCTTTAAAGCATTCATGGTATGGTACATTGTTCAGCAGAGTTATTTCTGTGGATTCTAACACACACACTCGACCTTTGCCATCCTGTTTGCTAGTTGTTTGAAGACTAGCTAGAGCATTACATAATTCAGCCTCATTGCCCAAACTCAGTGCATCTTCTCTGTAACTGAAGTCCATCCCACATTCTGAAGTCCAAAAGGAAATCTTCTGGATCTTCAAGTAGCAGTCTTGGCAGCAAACTTCCATTGTAACAGTATCTCCAGGCTTCACGGAGTAATCTTGGCAAATAGCACAAAAAAGTCACGCCAATTAGTTTATGACAGGCATTATCATTGAAGCAGCCATACTGTGCTTTAAAAGAAAAGCGTAATCTCATGTTTTCATTAGCTGTTATCACTGCGTATGAAACAATTACTCTAGTCACACTTCTCAGTCTTTTCTGTGTGCTGCATCACTGTTAGAAAGGGGCTCAAGTGTGCAACAGTCTGTAGGATGGAACCAGCAGCCTTCTAAAGACGAAATTCCTCCAGATCTCAGCGTGCAGCTCTGTAGCCCACAAGCTACATCTGGGTACTGTGCCTTATTAAACTGTCCCACACTAGGCAAATCCATTTAATATATGTTTATCATGGGAAGACTTGTTTTGAGATTACTTTAAACGTTCTACCAACAGCAGTGCTGAATAAAGAAAGACATAATGATGAAGAAACTGTTTTGGCCTAAAAATGCTAAATATTTAATATTTTAATACTTCCTACAAAGATGAATTTGTAATTACATTAAAATACCTTCAACACAATACCTACAGTTCAGAGAGGGTAAGACTTTATTCAAAATAAATTATACTGCAACATTTATGGTGTACAGCTCAAGATGGCCTTCACATACTCTGTGTATGTTTTCAGAAAGTACAAGGAAACCTACTGATACGGATCAGAATTTTGTAACAAGAAAGCTAGTTTGACAAACATTTCTTTCAGTGGCAACATAGTCTAAAAGAGTTTCTTCCCTCGGCTATGCTTCCACTTGAGCCAGTCTATGGCAGAGCTGCCCATATTGTCCTATGGAAACATACAAGGGGAAAATAGGCAAAGAGACAGGTGGGGCTGCTGGAAGCAACGCTGCCACTGTGGTAGAAAAAGTATTAATCAAATTAAGTCCAAAATAGGGTGTAGGGGGATAAGAGGTATTTATTTTTTGTTTTTGTGGCAAGAGCAGATAACAATTATTACCTCTCCTGCTTCCCTTTTCACACGTCATGTCCTGACTAAGTAGAGCCACGCAGTGGCCCTGCTCTTTGGAGCTGCTCTAAAAAGCACTGACTCAGTATAGGGAAAAAAAAAATACTTAGAGAAAAGCGTTAATTCTCCCAGATCCTTTATCTCTATAATAGTCTCTGTAATAAACAGAGTAGCTTAAGAACAAAATGAAATCAAGTTAATATACTGCAGAAAAAAAAAAAGAAAAAAAAAATCTACAGGACATACCAGGGAGATCCTGTACAGGATAGACTGCCTGTTCCCAACAAGATTCCTCACTGGGACTTGTAGACAGAGCATGCTCATCATCAAGCTGTAGTACAAACCAGACCACAATAGCATCTAGGATTCCTCCTTGGGTGACTGGTAGGCTGAGCTTCCAAGGCTTTCTACCTGCAAGGCTTTTCAGCTCC